TATAATATTCCTGTAACTTTATTTTGTCGACAAAGTCGTGAGCACTACTGGTCCCCCCCTCCAACCAAACTTCACAACAAGCACTCCGGAAAAAATTCCGGTCTCCGAGGCCACGCTAACCACTCTGTTGGGCGTGCAGGCCTTGGTGTTCTCTGTTGGGGACTTCTCATTGTATGTAGCCATTGCAGGTAGAAAGTGCGAACGAGAGTGCGAGGCATGCCATTCCGCGCGGTGAGCCTGTGCAAGCCATGCCTCAACAAGAAGTACCCGCTGCGGACGCAGCTCCTGCTGAGCTTCCTCGCCCTCGCCGCGGTGAGATCAACATATGGCGCACGTGAAGAGAGCACTGTCGGAAGAAAAGACCCGAAGAACACACAGACTACTTTCCTCTTTGCTCTAGCTACTGCTTGCGTGTATGCGTCCTGGGTTTGACAGCTAACCCAAACCCAAAGACACACACACGCACCGCCGTGGGTGATGTAAGGCAAACCTGTGTGTGTGTAGGGACGAGCTAGAGCTCATTGCTTATTTTCTTTTCCGCGAGGGAAACCAACATCGACAAGGAGGACTTATCCGCTATATTCGCAATTGCTCAAAATGCCAATGAGGACACAGGCTTCGCTCGTTATTAATTAGATGGAGGCCCAGATCATGTAGTCCCACCGCAGTTCCCGGGACTGGCAGTTCTGTAGTTGAGGTGTAGCAATTAATCTCAGATTTGAGAGTAGCACCGGGGCAGGTCGAACCAAAAGCTCCACCAATCAGAGGGCGTCAAAAACCCGAAGAGGGAAGAAGAGCCAGTGACAGCAGCCCGTAAACACTACTGACAATTCTACACCTCCACACATCGACCTGCAGGTTATAGCTTTCCTGAGCGCCTCCTCTTTCTGTCAAGTTACGTATAGAACGCGCTTTACGTACATACCGAATAGTCGGAGAGATGGCACCGGGTGCGATAAGGAACCCGAGAAAAACTCATTAAATCGGTTTACGCACCGGGGTCGGTGAGATCGCACCGGGTGTGGTCTCTCCCATCCCCAAATCCAAGATTGAGCTCCTTTTCAGCTGCCGGAATGAGATACATGTACGTACCTTTTACACGTGGGGACGGTGTCAGCGAAGCGCCACTCCTTTGCGTACGATTGGATGGTCGCGGTTCACGCGGGGTGCGAGTTGTTTTCATTTTTTAATTGGTATGGAAGTTGCCAAACGTACACTCAACCAAACACACAACGTACAAGCCGCACCCTACCCCACCTTCACAATAACCCGAAACTATTGTACTGTTGCGTACGTACTGGCATCCGTAGAAGAAGACCGAAACGAATGCGGGAAACAATTGATGCGTGTGTACTGGTAGTGTAGTCTACTGGTACAACCTCAGATGGAAACGACATCGATTGTTGTTGTCACGCCATAGCCAAACTCGCATCAAACACAAGACCACTCNCCGAAACTATTGTACTGTTGCGTACGTACTGGCATCCGTAGAAGAAGACCGAAACGAATGCGGGAAACAATTGATGCGTGTGTACTGGTAGTGTAGTCTACTGGTACAACCTCAGATGGAAACGACATCGATTGTTGTTGTCACGCCATAGCCAAACTCGCATCAAACACAAGACCACTCGCTGCATGGAAAGCTGATACGTACCACCAGTCTACGTTGCCGCTACCGGTGTGCTTCCAACCAGCAACAACGGTACCTACACGTACGTGTGGTTCTATAATCAATAGCTAGCATGATCATTTTCAACTAGCGTGTGAAGAAGATCGTGTGTGGGGGTGCCTACACCGGTATCAACACTGTCGTACCGATCGGGGAGATGGCACCGTGGTGCGTGCCTACAAGACCTGTGTGTATTTCATCGGGGATGGCAACGGTCGGAGAGATGGCACCGGGGTACGATAAAAAAAACGAGGGAAAAACATTTAAAAAAAACGATCGCACCCGGTGCCAACTCTCCGACTAAAATAGTAGTCCACCCAAGCTTCGGGCGACGCTGGGGTTCTACAGCACTAGTTCCTGGGGCCATGCGATAAACGGTCGCTTAATATATGAGTATGGTAGGTCTTAGTGTAGGGGTGAGCTCAAAGGGTGCTCAAGTTCTTACATTTTGATTTTTTTCAGCTCGATATCTTGACTCCGGAGTTCTTCGTGGTGGCCCCATCTTTATCATGGCGGCTGCTACGTACATTCTCCATGTCATGTTTTTTTTTTTGTCCTGAATTCACAACTCCCAGGTTCGTAGGTGCCGCGCGTGCACACTCTTCCTCCTGTACGGAGTGACCCTTCCTTCCTTGTCTTTCTTGTGGTGATCTGAACCTCACCTCATTTAGCAGCACTTAAATGTTCATGCATAATCGAAGGTGAGTCTGCTGTTGGCGCTAGCGGTGGTCATGGGCACGACGGCCTTCATCGGTGACAAGGCTAAGTCCGAGGCCCGCGACAGCCTGGAGAACCAGATCAAGCGACACCTCACGATCGCCAGCGAGGAGTCCGCCACCGCCATCAGAGAATGGTTCCGGAATCTCCAGTACGGGGTGCTCGACGTCACAACGTTCGCCCTCAGGGACGCACGTCAAGAGGTCAGTATTTCGGAGATTGTACAGAATGCTTTCAAGCGTGTTACGGTCAAGTGTGTCGAAGTAGAGATTTATCTCGGAGCTGACGGCGATATACACATGTTGCATGGTGCTATCTCGCGCTCTGTACTGCCGGGTGCCTAGAGGCCAGCATCCGTTTCAATTAAATCTTGAGGGACCCTGTCGTCCGTTCATCCATTCCGACACGATATTCATAGGGGCTATGGAGATAATTTTGCGTTCCGCCTGGTACCTACTCTGTTCTACTTTAAAATATTTGTCTCTCTCGCGTGCTCCCTTCATCACACGACGAGATCAGCCTCCTGCCCGCGATACCAGCCTTCACCCGCTCCCCTCTCCTACAGCAGTACACGCCCATGCATCTTATCATCGAAGCGGATGTTGGAGCCCGCCTTCCGTCCAATACATAAATAAGTCCCTCTCTAGCGTTGTGTACTCTATGTGCCAAGGCCTCCAAGCGCATCTGCTGTAGGAATCGATCCGAGCACTCAATGTTTCCTTCCTCATGGAGTACTCACGTTTTGATTGCTTTCGAACATGACCAGCTCGGTTTTTCAGGAAACGGCCGCTGGTGGTAAACAGATAACTCAGATTTATTTAGAATAATTAAGATACAAATGAACCCCCCACACGTTCATCTATTACGGAACCTGCTGAGTGGGGCGGCGCAAGTCGTGGAAATTATGTTTGCTGTTCTGTGTCCATGAGTGCGAGTAACGCGCTGTTCCACATATGAAGACACAGGTCGGATGTCTCCTTTGGGCATGACGCGGCTCCGGCCAAACACCGCTGCCTCTCCAGCATCAGTTGTTAGGGGGTGAAACCTCGCGTTACAAGGGTGAAAATTTCTTCGAGGTAGGCCCATCGCACAAACACAACACGTGCGTTCACGTAGTTGTTGTCGTCGACCGTAGGCACATCTGAGGGTCTACACCAGGGTTGTCAGCATGCCCGCTTCTCGAAGTACAGCAGAAAAGGCCTTCAATCGATACGCTGTTGCCCGCTAAAGGTCCCACGTTTCACGTCATTCGCCGGCGCGAACCCCAGGACCTAGTCCTCGATAGCGGAAATGAGGGGTACCCGCTAAACCTGGCCCACACCGACCTTCGCGATACCGAGATCGCAACAAGCGCAGAAGCTAACCTACAGAACTTCTCCCGAATGAGCTTCGAAGTGGACCTGTCCCGCAGCACCTGGTGGGTTGTCTACTTTTGGGTCCAAGCGACGACGTCCTTTGCCACGACTGTATGGAGCAGCTCCTAGTAGGCCTGTACTCCGTAGGCGATTGCCTGATGTTTTCGATGTCGATTTTTTATTAATATACTAAGAATAGTAGGAAAGTTAGTGTATCAAGATCGCGAGCAAAATCGCATACGGAGTACAGGCCTAGCTCCCAGCAACAACGCGTGCTCCAAACGATTGCGGCCCGTGTACGTTTGGAGTTCTCCGGAGAGTAACGCTTACCCGTCTCAGCGATATGGGGTAGAACTTCAACGAGCTCTGTGTATCATATCATTGTTTCCGTCCCCCGGCATACAGCGTTACCTTCTCATCATCTCAGGGACAGATGCTGTTCATATTTTGTGTGGGCTGGGAATGACATGGCCATGAATTTTTCTGTAGGCGAAGTCTCGGCAATCCTCCTCCTCGACAAACTTCCCCCTCCTCCGTCTCCCCATCCTCGTTCTCATCCTGGCCGTGCAAAAACGCGAAGTTGAGGAGACCGACGACCTGACCCATTGTGGTCCACCTACCGTCCGTTCGTACCTACCCGTTATCAACCATATCATACAGGTACTACGCTGATGCCGAGTCCAACACGGTGGAGGTTCCAGAGGACGAGATGACCACGATCACTCAAACCGCCCGACTGGATCTGCTGTGGCCGACCGTGTACATTAACTCGTACGACACGAAGGGGGTCTACGTTGGGGTAGAGCTCTCGACGACGGGTCGGACGATCCGCTATTTTCCGGGAACGGACCTCAGCGGGGTGGAGGGCTCTCGCTTCGCATGCGAGTACGTGGAGGAAGACGGTTCGATCGCTCCGTGCTTCGACCCGACCGTTCGCCCCTGGTACGCGGTAGAGTCTGGTCTAAAGGGACCGAAGGCAATTTACGCCAACCTAGCTGTTGACGGGGGTGTTTTTTCTTGAGAAGAAAGTTGACGGCTTTTGTTTTGCTGCTGTCCCTTTTTCCTTCGTGTGCGAGGGGAAAGCGTCGATCGGTCCTTTGTATGGTCACCGGCAAAATCCCCCTAGAATTTGAACGCCGGTAATTGTTATGAGATCACCTCGTGCGTTGCTTGTTTCTTGACAAAACAATTGAGACATATGCGAAGGGTTGCCTATCGGCGAAGTTGGGTCTTATCTGGACTCAGAACGACGGCCAATGTTCCCAGTATTCGCCCCTCCCTTCCGCCGCATGTGTTCTCTGGTGCCTAAGGCGTGTCTCGTCTTCAGGTTTTTCGTGTGGCGGTATTCACGGCAAAGGCGTATAGCGAAAAGCCATCTCTTTCTTCCAAATACTTGCTGAGAGAACACGCCGGCGCGTGGGCTTCAGTGATTCCTCTTCCGTGGGAATGCTGTATTGACTACATGTAGGGTTGCATGTTGTCGAAAGGTGGTCCTAGCCTGCCGCGGCATGTGAAAGTATCTTAGACAAGGCGGTGCACTCAATGTACATCTCTCCTTTGAACACGCGGAGTGGTTGAGCTCTACGAAGACTTTTAAGTCAAGATTCTACCAAAAGCTCCAACAGCACCACACCAGCAGCGAGCGGCAGAAACTGCAATGGTATCAGCGGGAGCGATGGAGGTAGCAACAAAGGCATATTACCAGCAGCGCCAGCAACAACATCAACAACACCAACTCATTTTTCTTCCTGCAGGTACCAAGGAGCCGAGGGTGCAGCTGTCGACGCAGGGACTTCTCTCGGAGCTGCCATCATCAGCGATCCCTACAAGGACGCAATCGACGACGAATGGTTGCTGGCTCTGGCCCGTGCCGTCTATAGGTGAACAAGAAGACGGCCTTGACTGCTCCTCGTAGAATTGCTCCCATTAACTGCGAGAACTTTGAAAAGCCGGTGTACACTCAAGGTACCACCCCCCCGGTAGCCTCACCTTGTGTCTGTCTCTAGGCGTGAGTTTTACCTTGTTCAGGGAAAGCACTATAGGCAGCATCGTCCAAGGAGCAAGGTTTCGAGGCGGACGTCCACAAGTTTTCCAAGTTTGTGTCCGAGCGTTTTTTTCTCCGTGCTGGCGCAACCCTTCCGATTTTGCACGCCTGGACACTGCGCTTGCAGCGACTCGGATTCGACACGCGGCAACCTACTGGGGGTGGTCGGCATGGATGTGCGGCTGGAGCAAGTGCAGGAGTCAGTGGAGGGCATCAACTTCCTCAATACCGGCTATTCTATCCTGGCGACAGCGGATGGAATCGTGCTGGCCGCCGGCGTGTGGGACAGGGACGGTACGGAGAAAGCCCCAGAGGTGCGCAAACGTGGCCTGTGTGCTTGTCCGTTTTGGACCATCTGATGGGTAGATAACATCAAGCGTGGCTGTGGTCGCGTGGTCTTGTGGTAGTGGTTTGGTGCCAGAGGTCGAGTTGTGGGTAGGTTGGGCACCGACTACAACCTACGGTGGGGAAGTTGCTCGCCGATGTGTGTAGCTAATCCTGCATCTGTGACACTGGCGTTAATCCTACCAACACGGCAGGTTGGCAGCGTAGACAAACAATCATGTTCAACGTCGATCCCGATCTGGCAACCTCCCCCCGAACCTTCATCAACACGGCGGGCTGGCAGCATAGACAAGCAAACATGTTCAACGTCGATCCCAAAATCGCAACCTCCCCACCCCATCCTTCACAGGTTGAGAACGGTGCCCAAAGTGCCCCTCTGGTCACCAATGCAGTGGTGATGGCCGTAGTTGTTCTCGTAAGTGAAACCAGGGGAAAGGTCGCACCCTTGGGGACAGGTATAAATAAATGTGTAAAACGCCGCCGTTCGCTGCACAACACAATCCCTGATTTATCACACGTGTAAGCGTTGCATCCTATCCTATTTTCCTTCCGGAAGCAAGGTCTGCGCCCTTGGTAACGGCATCTGCTCTGGCAGTGACGGCGACGAATGGGTGGACCTGCTGGCGGAAATCGAGAACGGCGGGATCAAACGCTTCACCTCGACGTCTACCGCCGGCGTCGACGGTGAGAACGAGCCGTGGTGCGTGTGGGCGTGGACGGTGGGAGCCGAGTGACTCGTCTACCGACGTGTACTACATGTACATACCGTTTCCCTCGGCTCACCTCCTCGAACTTTTCGTTTTGGCGCAATCTATGCAGCAGCCGACGTTTGCCTGAATGCCGTTGTTGCGTCCAGGCCAAAGTATTGCCAACCTTCTCTCTCGCAATCACCTCCTTGATGTATATTTTATGGATTTTTCTGCTCTCGGGAAAAGCAGAGGAATGGATCCTCGTCGCCGCCCCCGTGGAGGGGAACTTTGCCACGGCCACTTCCGGCGGTGCTGGCACGGTAACCCACTACATCCTGAGCGCCGTTCCTCGGAACGAGATCTTCGAGCCGGTGGTTGGAATGGCGGACTTGATCAGGGACAGCACCGTTCAGGTACATCCATCACACAACAGAAGAATGCCTACGGTCCGGTGTTTTTGGTGGTGTGCGTGACTAATTTGTTGTTCGTTCGAACGCAACGATAGGGCCGTCGTTGTTTAGGACAATGTACTTGTGGATGGTGTCGTTTGCATCAAACACACCCCAAGTCCAAGCAATGGGGCTTCTATTGTGCTCAACCCAAGGTCGTAGAATTTTGAACATGAACGTAATAACTACTGAGTATAGTAATTCGTTCGTGTCTGCGTGTCTGTCTGTCCTCTTTGTCTGCCTCTCTCCTCCCTCCCTTCCTCCCTCGCTCCTTCTCTCCCCCCCGCCCTCTCTCTCTCTACGTTTCGTCCAGATCATCGTCACTACGGCCATCGTCGCCTGCTTCACCATGGTCGCCGTGGCTCTCTCCGTCTACTTCCTGGCCGGCTCCATCACGCGCCCCATCGTGAAAATGACCTCAGCCGCACGCAGCATCGCCGCGGACGGGGCGAAGACGGACGTCTTCGGCAGTGTAACGGCCACATGGGGCGCCAGGAGAGACTCGGCCAGGTGAGAAAATGCCAGAGTTCCATGGATGCCCACAACGTTGTGAGCGAGAATGTCCTTACCGGAAGCGATGGCAATAGATGGCAATCGAACCTATTGCAACATTAACAGACCTGGGCTGTTTATGCTGTCATGGTACTCGAAGCACGTATGTATATTGTTCGCTTGTTAGGTTGACTTCTGCGAGCAGTACGAGCGATATACGATACGAGTGTGTGCACGTCAAGCGAAAAGTGGTACAAGCTCTGAAAAAACAATGAATCATTTTGCTGCTTGGTGGCCCACTTGATGCCTGATTTTCGCTCGAACCAAGGCGAGTGCGTGCTGATTCGTTCTTCGTCCAGCCCGCCGAGCTCTTTTGTCTCTCCTGTTCCTCATCGCGATTTTTTTCTTGCCAATCACACGAATATGTGACAGAGACTCGGCCAGAGGCTGCGGTACCGACATCAGCACACCGGGACGTTTCACCGTGAACCGCACCGCGTGCCTGGACTACCTCCTCTGCCGGGGAGACGACGAGATCTCCACCCTCGGCAGAGAGTTCCAGCTCATGATCACTGGGCTCGGGAGGCGGGGATCGGCGGCGGAGGCCACAGGTCTGATGGACAAGCGAACGGGATACCCAAAGAACCCTTACGCGGCGATGATTGTCAAGCGGCCACCCCCGACAGGGCCGTCTGCATCCGGTGGCGCCGCTGTGCCTGGCCCGAAGTCTTGAGAATGCTCGTGCCGTAGCTCCAGTGTCTAAAATCGTGGCTGGCTGCTTAGTTCCTCCCGCTGCCGTCGTTACCGTCCGTTGCTGTTGACGCGTCGTATTTAGAAAGGACGAAGCTTCAGCAATGTCTGCGGTGGGGGGGGGGGGGGGGGG